CGTCATGAGTCTGGTCAAGTCACAGCTGATATTCATGAGTCTAGTCAAGTCACAACTGATCGTCATGAATCCAGTCTATTCACAGTTGATCGTCATGAGTCAAGTCAAGTTACAACTGAGCGTGATGAATCAAGTTTAGTCACAGCTGATCTTCAGGAGTCAAGTCACAGTTGTTCTTCAGGAGTCAAGTCAAGTCACAGCTGATCTTCCTGAGTTCAGTCAAGTCACGGTTGATCATCATGAGTCAAGTTAGTTCATTCTCATGAGTCTAGTCAAGTCACAACAGATCTTCATGAGTCAGGTCTAGTCACAGTTGATCTTTCTGAGTCAAGTCTGGTCACAGTTGATCATCATGAGTCAAGTCAAATCACAGTTGATATCCCTGAGTCAAGTCAAGTCACAGTTGATCTTCATGAGGCAAGTCAAGACACAACTGCTCTTTCTGGGTCACATCGAATCACAGTTGATCTTCATGAATCAGGTCACACCACAACTAATCATCCAGAGTCACGTCACATCACGTTCGTTCATTCAGAGTCCGGTCTGTGGCATCCAGACCCTTAGAGACTGTTCCGCAGTATCCCAGACTGGTATCCAGCGTGGAGGACCCACCATTGGTGGCTGCATGCGCAGCTGGTATCCCCAAACCCGTTCACTCTAGCCCTCCTGTTCCTGAACCTATTCCCCTGTCTGTTGCGCTTCCCATAATGGGGATCGCTTTCTGCAGTGTTTGGGCTGCATACACCACCACGGAGACTCGAGACAGCGGCGCCTACTATGATGTTTCCAGAGGTGGCGGCTGATGCTGCAGAACCTCCCAAGGTAGTGGAGTTCGCTGCTGTTTCCCCAGAGGCGATGGTGTCCGCTGCAGCTTCTCCAGAGGTGGCGGCGTGTGCTGCAGAACCTTCCGAGGCGGCGGCGCTCGCTTCAACTCCTTGTATGGTAGTGGCGCCCAACAAGGCACTTGCTCCGCCGTGGTGGTTATCTGCCCCGCCGTGGTGGTCTACTGTCTGGCTCTGGTGGTCGTTTGCTCTGCCGTGGTGGTCTTCTGCTCTGCCGTGGTGGTCTGCTGTCTGGCTCTGGTGGTTCTCTGCTCCACCTGTACTGCCAGCTCCGCCCTGGCTCTCTGCTCCCCTGGTTCTGCCTCAGTTCCCAGTCTCTCCACTTCCATGTGGACCTGGCCCTCCATCCCTCCCCCTGTTCCGCCTCCACTCCACCGCCATCGTAAAGTGTTTGGAGCGTCTGGAAGCCGCTCCTTGGTGGGGGGGGGGTTCTGTCACGTATCCGGTCCATGAACTTCCGTCTGCTAGCCATCAGAGGTCACCCTTTCCATTTCATTGACTCTCGCACTACACATTGTTGCATATCACCCCGGACTACATATCCCATCATCCACTAAGTTGATTGCACACAGCACTGATTGCAAACAGCTGTAATCAATCACACATCCCCTATTTAACACTCACTCTGATCCCTTCCCACTGCCGAGTATTGTTTAGCGAATATCATTGTTTAGCTGATAGCTACCTTACGGAGCCTGCTTAGTTTTCCTAGCCTTAGCGGCGTCTTGCTTTGTCTGTTTTCCTATGTTCTGATCTTTGCCTGTGTACCTGGATTTATCCCTCTTGTCTCACCCTGTTGGATTCCGTTTGCCATCGACTGACCCTCGCTAGTTTACCAGATTGCCCTTGCCTTGTCTTCTCCATACCAGTTTACCATTGTCTGACCCATGCCTGTTTCTGACCACGCCTGTGAATAAAGTTTGCAAATGGATCTGTATGTCTCATGTCTTGTCAGCCCCGTAACAACAACATTCCATTCGTTATTACTGATGCCATAGGTTTGTTATGAATAGTTTTTATCCAATATATAAACGAATCTCCAAAGCCAAAGAAATGTCCAATTAGCTTTTTCAGCGTCTAGGGACGCTATTATTGCCTGTATTTGATTACGTTGAGATACATCAATTATATTAAAACGTCTTCTTAAATTAGGAATGACGACCTTTAATAAATCCAGTTTGATCTTTATGAATGATTGAAGAAATTACTGAATCCAGACGAAATGCAAGAGATTTAGAAATTCTTAAAATCAGTATTAATTAAGGATAATGGACGATAGCTAGAAGGCAAAGTTGGGTTTTTATCAGGTTTCAATAATAATCTTATTAAAGCCATATTCATGTGAGATGAAATCTTAACTTTTGTCTTTATTTCTCCAATCATTCTGTTAAACAATGGAGCCAATATATCCCAAAAATGTTTTCGAAAATCCGCGGGAAACCCGTCTGGTCCTGGAGTTTTGTTATTTGGAATTTTGCAATTCCGACAAAGTCAATGGAAAATCGAAATAATCAGCTTGTTCTTTTGTTAGACTTGGGCGATTTAATTTATTTAAAAATAATTGGATATCAGTTAACTTTGGATCACTTACAGAGGAATATAATTCATGATAACATTTTTGAAAAATCTCATTTATTTCTCCTGGGGATTGTTTACCCTTACCCAACGAATCATTAATAGTAGTTATAATTGATTTTTCTCTATTATATTGGAGTTGACTTGCTAAAAATTTACCTGATTTATTACTATATTCATATTCATTATACCGGAGTTGTTGCATTATAAATTTTACTCTCTTTAGCGTAATATTCTCGATCTGAAATTTTATTTTTTGTATTTGTTCCCACAAGCTTTGATCCGGTTTTTTAGTATATAATCAATTAGTATTTTATATTTTTCCTCTAAATCATTTTCTAAAATACTTTCGTGTTTCTTCTTATGGGACAAATATGAGAATTTTTCCCCTAATTACCATTTTCCAAGTTTCCCATAACACGGATGATGAAATATCAGGGGTATCATTGTCTTTAAGAAAGAAGTCCCATTCTTTCCTTATATAGATTTGTGGTAATTATAAGATGTGATAAAACAAATTTACTCTCACAGCGTAGGATACAGCGTCTTCTCGACATGATGTTAACCACGGAAATGTTACTGTTTGTGGGCGGGCAAGTTGGCGACATAGAACGTGGGCAGACATTATGCAAATGTGTTACTTCGTGACGTAGAGCCGTAACAGAATAAGATTCGAATTTCTGACGACTCGTTTAGGCCATTGCGAGCTGACTCTTTTTTTTTTGATAGACAATAACTTTATTTATCGTGCACTGTCGGCTTCACCACTTTGCAAATTTATGTTCACATACTGCTACATGACACACTGCATGAAAGGTAATATTCGAAAAGGCATAATAGGGGCACTTTAA